TGAGTTCCTGAGTCACTGAACTGAGCCCTTGTTGATAAGCCGCCAATCGTTCACCTCACGAAGACTTTACACAGTTTTTCTGGAACCCGGAAGTTCATTACCGTGTTCACAAGACCCTTCCTCAGGTCCCTATCCAGAACAACCCAGAAAATATCCCAAAACTTTTTCTATAAGATCCCCTTTAATATTATTGTCCAACAAATTTGTAGACCTTCCTAGTAATTTATTTCCTTCTGCATTTTCCGCCAAAATCCTATATGCATTCCATTTTCCTCATACATGCTACATGTCCTGTTCATATCATTTTCTTCGACGTTCTAATTATGCTTGGCGAAGAGTACAAGTTATGAAGCTCTTCATTGTGCAGTTTTCTCCAACCTTCCGTCACTTCATCTCTCTTTGGTCCAAATATTCTCCTCAACCCCCTGTTCTCGGGCACCCTCAGTCTATGTTCGTCCTCTGATTTGCTAAGAACTTCAAATATTAGATAATGAAATCACTGATTACGATCTGAACCTAACAATATATCATTCAACATTCTTCTAAGCATTAAAAAAAAACAAAAAAAAAAAAAAAACGAACACATCACTATATATGATCTAGAACTATAAAATACAATTACAAGAATGTCAGCTGTAACAACTCGTGCTTTCCTCTAAACAATGTGATTCTGTAAGTAGTTTAATAGATGGAAGGAAAATAATTTCCTGATGCTGTACAAGTATACTACCTGCTAGCACATGTAAGCCTGGAAGATTAGATGGCAAGAATGCAATCCGTTGTCTGTCACACCGAAATACACATCTAACTTAGAAATCACTTGCCATAACACATACTCTACACACCACTGTGCACATTTTACACTGTCATTTAACAGGATTGCCAGCATAACACGAATGACAACATGTGTTTCACCTTCGTATAAGCAAGAATTCTTCATGCAAACAAGGTATGTACATAAAAGGGGAAACTTTGGAATCTACTGTGGGTGAATGGAAATCTTAACGTTCCTGAAAACAGTACAGAACCTCACTACACATCACTGTATATATTACACACAAAAATATAACCTCACTCTAGACAATTTAAACTTCACTTTACACTCGACATTATTCTGACCAAAACAAGATACAATATACCCATCACTCTCTGTCACAAAGAACTGAGATATAAATTAAAAAAATAACTTCTTAAATGGGAACTACAATTTCACTTTACACCCTCTCCTTACATGTACTTATAATAATAATAATAATAATAATAATAATAATGCAAAAAAATATCATTCTGACTAATAACCTACTCACACGTTTAATATGCAGAGGCTACATACCAATACTACACCTTGTTTTCTACCATTCGAAGTATGCACTCATAAAATCTAATTCACTCTCTATCCATATAACCACTAAAATATTTTTTTTTGCAAATCACTGTACATACTTCACACGAGATTATTAATAATAGTGAAGAATAACCTCAAATACACATTGCCGTACTACACACCCACTATTCTTATATGCACTTACTTTCGTTAAATCAATAAATGTACGCTATGGTGTATTCTTTCTTCACACATACGTACTTCAGTTTCATGGTTCAGAAGGAAAACACTTCGATTTCNTGTCACACCGAAATACACATCTAACTTAGAAATCACTTGCCATAACACATACTCTACACACCACTGTGCACATTTTACACTGTCATTTAACAGGATTGCCAGCATAACACGAATGACAACATGTGTTTCACCTTCGTATAAGCAAGAATTCTTCATGCAAACAAGGTATGTACATAAAAGGGGAAACTTTGGAATCTACTGTGGGTGAATGGAAATCTTAACGTTCCTGAAAACAGTACAGAACCTCACTACACATCACTGTATATATTACACACAAAAATATAACCTCACTCTAGACAATTTAAACTTCACTTTACACTCGACATTATTCTGACCAAAACAAGATACAATATACCCATCACTCTCTGTCACAAAGAACTGAGATATAAATTAAAAAAATAACTTCTTAAATGGGAACTACAATTTCACTTTACACCCTCTCCTTACATGTACTTATAATAATAATAATAATAATAATAATAATAATGCAAAAAAATATCATTCTGACTAATAACCTACTCACACGTTTAATATGCAGAGGCTACATACCAATACTACACCTTGTTTTCTACCATTCGAAGTATGCACTCATAAAATCTAATTCACTCTCTATCCATATAACCACTAAAATATTTTTTTTTGCAAATCACTGTACACACTTCACACGAGATTATTAATAATAGTGAAGAATAACCTCAAATACACATTGCCGTACTACACACCCACTATTCTTATATGCACTTACTTTCGTTAAATCAATAAATGTACGCTATGGTGTATTCTTTCTTCACACATACGTACTTCAGTTTCATGGTTCAGAAGGAAAACACTTCGATTTCCTTGTGGAACAGAGGAAACACATGTTTGTAAAATTTGGTGCACTCGCCATTAGTCGGTCCAGGATAATACACACATTATAGCCTACCATTTGCACTATCTCACTGAATCTTTTAACATACACGTATACTTTCAGGCAGTTAATTAATCACAACTTGTACATATATGTATATAAACATACACATAANGAAACTTTGGAATCTACTGTGGGTGAATGGAAATCTTAACGTTCCTGAAAACAGTACAGAACCTCACTACACATCACTGTATATATTACACACAAAAATATAACCNGTCTTCTTACCAGGAAAGAAAGGTACCTTGATGGTGTACACCGGATATTTAGGTCACAGTGACAGGGCAGCCANTCTAGACAATTTAAACTTCACTTTACACTCGACATTATTCTGACCAAAACAAGATACAATATACCCATCACTCATTGTCACAAAGAACTGAGATATAAATTAAAAAAATAACTTCTTAAATGGGAACTACAATTTCACTTTACACCCTCTCCTTACATGTACTTATAATAATAATAATAATAATAATAATAATAATGCAAAAAAATATCATTCTGACTAATAACCTACTCACACGTTTAATATGCAGAGGCTACATACCAATACTACACCTTGTTTTCTACCATTCGAAGTATGCACTCATAAAATCTAATTCACTCTCTATCCATATAACCACTAAAATATTTTTTTTTGCAAATCACTGTACATACTTCACACGAGATTATTAATAATAGTGAAGAATAACCTCAAATACACATTGCCGTACTACACACCCACTATTCTTATATGCACTTACTTTCGTTAAATCAATAAATGTACGCTATGGTGTATTCTTTCTTCACACATACGTACTTCAGTTTCATGGTTCAGAAGGAAAACACTTCGATTTCCTTGTGGAACAGAGGAAACACATGTTTGTAAAATTTGGTGCACTCGCCATTAGTCGGTCCAGGATAATACACACATTATAGCCTACCATTTGCACTATCTCACTGAATCTTTTAACATACACGTATACTTTCAGGCAGTTAATTAATCACAACTTGTACATATATGTATATAAACATACACATAACACCGTCTTATTATTTATAAACACGTCTTCTTACCAGGAAAGAAAGGTACCTTGATGGTGTACACCGGATATTTAGGTCACAGTGACAGGGCAGCCAACCTCTTAACATGACTGAAACAGAAACATTCGAATATCAGTTTGATTACAGGGCTGTAATTTTTCATCCTATTTTTTTTACCCATTTTCGTGTATAATATTATTCTACTTCCTATCCAGGAAGGGAAATTCGGGCGAAAGAAATGGCCAGCAGTCACTGAATTGGTCGCGTATCCATACACGAGAAAGAAGGGAACGATTTCACTGATAATAAAGATTTTTCGTCTTATCGTTATGCCATTGGAGGGCAGCATAATATGTGATATTCAGTAATCATTTTTATTACCGTCGGGGATTCGCAAACTCTTGAGGTGGGAGCGGCGTTCTCGACACAATCTAATCTATTACGTAGCAATATAACCTCGGAATATAAGAACCTAAATTGATATTATGTGTGGAAAAAGAATCAACAGGCTCAATTTGCTACATAAGGTCATATTTCGACTTATATTCCTTGTTACGACAGTCCTATATTACGTTCGGTTAAATAGCGTTAAATAGCATCTTCGTAAATGACGTCACTCTTAGGTGTGCGCAATGAACTACGGCGCATCCACCTGTAAATCAGGGGGCTGGCCCTTGGATCTCTGATATTAGGTTAGGTTAGGTTAGGTTAGGTTGGTCAGATTAAGTTGGCTTAGGTTTGCGCAGTAGACTACTGCGCATCCAACTGTAACTCAGGGGTACCATTCGCTGATGTTAGGTAGGTTAGGTTTGCGCAGTAGACTACTCCTCATCCATCTGTACCTTGGAGGGGGCAAAGCTTGGTAATTTACGCTAATGTTAGGTTGTGAGTGTACATTATGTCAGGTGTTCGCAAATGACTACTTCGCATCGTTATGCTCATCTGAGCACTGTCTGGCCGTCGGCAATATCTTACGATTGAATGTCTCTGATAGCGTATGAAATCATTATATATTTACACGGGACATTTTATTTCCGAATTTTCTTTCGTGTTATCTCTTGCATATAGTTTTCAGTTAAACTCTCTACGTAATCTGTGAAACCTGGAATATATTGCAATATTTATAATGGTCGTAAATGCATTTTTTTTTCGAAAGATTCACATTTCAGAACGCTGTCAAATGCATGATATCAGAATTATCTTCATTGACTCTTACAATTTCCAACAGTTCTCGAAATATTCTCTTTTCGAATGTTGCCATTATTAAACAAAATAGAAACTAATTCTTCTTGTATTTCTCCTTGTCCTCTTCTGTCTCCATCTTCCCTTCTTCTCCTCGAATGATATGACACACTTATTTTGGTGCTCAGCTCATGTAACTTCCGTTCTCTGGGAGTCCGTTCTGCAGTCTAATGTGAGTGTCTGTGTGTTGTGCAGCACACAATGGGCCAACAATTACGTAACGTCTCGGAAAGCAACTACATGTACGTCACCCACAATCGGCAAGGATCTTCATCAGCTTACAAACAACGGCAGCAACTTCAACAACAACATCACGACTTCTTTCCAGCAGCATCGCTCCAGTTACAGCTCGTCTTCGGAGTTCCTGTCGGAGTCCTCTCCAGATGACAGCCTAGGCGACTTCGAAGGTACTCACTCGGGGTAGATCAAAGTAATTTTACTAACCCTCGTCAGATAACGACGTAAGGTCATATTTATTTAGTCAGTACCCTGACATTTGGAGCACTATGCTACAAGCCGGAAGGTCGCGGATTCGATTCCCAATGACGTCAATGGATTTTTCAGTTGACCTAATCCAGTCGCGCTATGGCCCTGGGGTCGTCTATGCCTCTAACAGAAATGAGTACCAGGAATCTTCCTGGGGGGTAAAAGGCGGCCGGCCGGTGCGTAAGGCTGACAATCTCACCGCCGTCTGAGCTGATTTTCCCAAAAAATGTGGGAGCCTCGACGTCTCGCAGCCCTATGGGCCTCCACGGCTTGTTACAGGGAAAGCTTTATATTTTATTCTGACATTTCTCGACCTCGTATGGTGAACATCAGGGGTATTGTTGTAACAGTTATATTAGTATAGTCACTCAATTTTACCACAAGATTTTTCAGCATAAACAGTTAACAGAAACACGTAGGTTATAATGTTTTCATATGTTATGCCGACAGCATGAATTTTAGATGTATTAAAATTAGTATATTTTGTATGCATATATACGGTGAATGTGTTTGAGAACAGGGTGCTGAGGAGAATGTTTGGTCCGAAGAGAGATGAAGTGACGGAAGGTTGGAGAAAACTGGATAATAGGGAGCTTCATACTCTTCTCCAAGTATAATTAGAATTATCGAGTCAAGGAGAATGAGACGGGAAGGGCATGTAGCAGGAATGGGGCTACGAGGAATGCATATAGGATATTGGTGGGAAAGTTAGAAGGAAAGAGACCACTGGGAATACCGACGTAGCTGTGTATTTAACATTAAAATGGATCTTAGGTAAGATGTTGTTTGGACTGGAATGTTGTGGCTTAAGATAGGGACCAGTGGAGGGCTCTTGTGAACACGGTTAGGAACCTTCGGGTTCCATAAAATGCTGGGAAGTTCTTGAGTGGGTGCAAAAATTGAGGCTTCTCGAGGAGGGCTCATTTCCATGAAGTTAGTTAAATGCATGCGTTACCCAAACAACACAGATTTCGGTCGAGAAATCCGTTTCCTGACCTAAGCTTTCCATTGTTTTCCTCAGCCCCCCCATGGAGATCACTGGATAGTATCTCAAGTAGGCTACTGCCTTATCCTTTGCAATTCGCCATTCTTCCTACTGAACACACCGTAAACTGAACCAGGCAATCATACGGAGATACCAAACTGTACGGGTCCAAAACTTCAACGTTAATAGGTCCTTTTTGAGAAGATAACAGTTGCTCAGCAACTCAAGAAATTCCCAGTATGGGACCCGGAGGTTCATTACCGTGTTCACAAGAGCTCGACCCTCACCCAAATACTGAGTAAGATACTCCGAGTCTACATTATCTGACTAATAATTCTGTACTAATATTACCCTTCCATCTACGTCTGTGACTTCCAAGTGGCCTCTTGCCTTCAGGTTTGTCGGATCATAATTTTTATTTAGTTTTCCCGATTCCAGTTCGCGTTTCATGCTCCGTTTTTTACGACGCTCAATTTTTTTTTGTATCTCCACATATTTGTACAATCAGCCCATTGTGGGCTATAAGTACATCTTATGTGAGAGTTAATCTAAAGCTTAAATACTAAGAGAGAACATGTCGGGGAGAGTAATGCTCCAGTGAGCATTCTCTACGGATCTATTTCGGGTGTGACGTTATTTTGTGTATTGCATTTATATGAAGCGCGTCGTTAGGTCGTTTGGTTTATGCCTTTTCAGTCTTCTGAGTTCGTCTGCATCGTTTAATAATATGGTTGCCAGTTCATTTGGATGTGCTGTGACCTTGTATTTGCGGCTGATGTCTATAGTTTTCCCGTACTATAGATATGCCTAGATCGGCATGTAGTTTGGGACGTACCGCGGCGCATTGCCTATAGCGCGAAGTACTTTATTTTGAAATCTCTGCAACATTTCTATGTTGGATGTACTTGCAGTTCCCCATAATGGTGCGCCGTAAGTCCAAATAGGCTTCAGAATTGTCCTGTATACTAGGAGTTTATTTTCGGTAGACAGTTCTGACTTTCTGCCAATTAGCCAATGCATCTGACCAAATTTAATGTCAAGTTATTTTCTTTTGGCGAGAATATGTGTGCGCCAGGTCAACCGCCGGTCCAGGTGAAGGCCTAGGTATTTGATGGATTCCGCTTGTGGTATGCGTTTTCCGTTTAATAGTACCGGAGGGCAGGTTCCGTGCCTCAAAGCGAAGACACTGTAAACGCCTCGTACTGTAGAGTGTCGAGCCCATTACAGGGCCCAGCCGCGTGACCCAGGTTGTGAACCGTCTCCGCCAATTCGGACACTGGGATCGTGGTTTCGATTCCCAATCCAAGGCATGGATATCTGTGTCTGTGACTGTGATGTTTGGCGTACTGTTCTGGAATTTGCTTGGAGGGACTGAAGAAGACCATATATAACCTCAGTCGGAATAGCCAGTTTCTGGGCCGAAATTCTAACCGAGGACCCCCCTAATAGAAATGTAGAGCACTACCGCAACCACAGATTGCTCGCAGCCTCGTCTGTCTTGACCTAATGTTTCCGGTAATGTATCTATGTTTAACCACGCACGCTGACCAGACACATGCTTCCTGCTACAGTTCACTTTAGGAGCTTTTTATAAAAACTGCATTAGTGTTCAGTGTTCTGTCAGAAACAGAAATTCACCGTGAAAGAAATGGGCCCTACCACTCGAGATTTCTCTCCACGTTTTGCTTTGTGGCAACAGTGGGATTTCATCTTTTGTTGAAGCCAAGGATCTTGATATATTTTGTTCGTATACTCAGACGCTCTACTACGGGATGGTTACAGTAGCGCATCCTGGAATTTGGTGTTCTCCAACAATTTTCAAGCGTGTAATTAAATTTTAATAATAAGCTAATATTTAAAATCCGGTTTCTATTCTACAGGAAGTATGCTGTACTTTCATCACAAAGGCAAAATATTTCAAGATTTTGATTTGTTTCATTCTAGTCCGTCACAATAACAATATTATGAAGGATATAACAATTCCGTCCAATGTGACTGTTGAAGTTTTTACTACTTCAATTCTTAACACCCTTACATGTTTCGGTCCCTATAGACCATCATCAGAGGGACATCGATATTCTTTGGAAACCGCTATTACAATAGGTGTTCTGAGTGTTACAGTACACCATCATACAATGTTTGTAATGCACAGTATATACAAAACCTAAAGTTTTCACAACTACAGCGACCGTCTTGGTATATTAAAGTTTTTAAAAAAACTTTTGTTATTTAAGTTAAAATTTACAAACCGAGTAGGTTCGTGTCCCTTCTCTTTTCGCTTTTCTGGACGGGGGCCGAACTTGTGCCGCCTGTCTTTCTTAAGAAGGAGGTTCTGCAAATATATTTTGGGTATTGTATTATTTCAACAACCATATTATATTCTTATATATATATATTAAGGAGTTTGTTGTTTCATCCTACCTTTGATATCGTTCTGTGTTTGTTCGTGGCGTGCTGTGTTTTTACTGTTCTAGGATGTGCTGCGCCGTGTATTTATACTTCCTGTGTCTGTGACGTTAGTGTGGGCGTGTACTGATGTAGTATTATGAGGTCGAACATGTTATGTTGGTTATTGCTTTCTTTTATGTGTTTTTGTTCTTCTATCAATTTATTGAGCTTATTAAAGCGATATATATGGAAATCTTCTTTTATATTCATGATGCTGCCTGTTTTGTCTTTCTCAGTCATTTCTATGATTACTGTCATCGGTCCGTACTGATGGCGTTTGTTTAGTATGTGTTGGGCAAATGCTGATTCATCTTTGTTTAGTCTTATGTTTCTTGTGTGTTCCTTGTACCTTGTTGTTAGATTTCTACCAGTTTGGCCGATGTATACTTTTTGGCAGCTTTGGCATGTTATTTTGTATATCCCACTTTGTTCGTAGGGGTTTGTTTCTCGCTTTTCATTTAGTTTACCTGTTGAGTGGGTTGTTTTGAAGGCTATCTTTGTGTTGGTGTTTTTGAAGAGTTTTGTGATATACTCCAAACCACTGCGGTTTGAAGTATTGATTACCAGAAGTTTGAAATTACCGACCACGCATTTTACGCCCATCCTGAATTCTCACAAAGTTTTGCTTTGACCGTATCTTGTACGGTCAGTCGATAAACCGGAAGTGCAGCGCTCACTTCTTGTTCTCTTAGATCCGTGATAACCTTTGCAGTCTTCTCGTAAGCATCTCAGAAGCATCCTTCATTACGTCAGATGGGCAGTCTCAGTAGCCAGGAACAGTTGCTACCGATTTCAGGTAGATAACCTAATCCTTGCTGTGTTTCACTTCTCCATTTACCGTGATTGGACGCTACAATCTCCACTTTGATAATGCCGGAACTTTCTGATTCATTCGTAAGATTAAAATGGACCGGAATTTCATCTTTAAATTACATTCTTAATTATAAACTCAAGTTGTCAATTTTATGAAAACATTTAACCTTAACCGAGCAAGGAGCTCCCACCAGAACTCATAAAAACATAAGATGTTTATTCCAGTGTTTTCTGATCCTACAAATGTTATTATTAATTTACTGTATTTTATTTGTGCTAATAATTTATTACCTACATACCGATCCTATCTACTTTAAATTTGTCAGATAGGATGTAAAAGATTCGCATCAGCGCCATCTTTGTAATTTTTTTAGTTATGAAAAATATTTCGCACATAAAGTTACACGTATGTATGGTCTACTTGGCGTACCAAATTTCAAATGCCTAATTCATCAGTGTATTATTTATCATTATGAAACCGAAAGTTAAATACTGATTTTAACAACAACGGCATACATGTACTACTTCATTAATACGCAACGGCCACTTGCATACATACAGTATTCATTATCGTCAGCATGTAGAATTCACATGTATATGATATAATACTAACAGATACAATAACAGTAATAATAATTCGATTATAGATTTATTTACGTACTGACTTTACTACCCAGTGGCCAACCACGAAACAAGCATGAGTTAAACGCCACAAAAAGATAAAATAATACAGCTATTTATATAATTAAAATAACAAATTCAATTGAGTTATTTGTTTATTTACATGCCGAGTTCAACAGCCAGCGGCCACTTACAGTGTAAGCACGATAACAAACAAGTTATTGCTGTTGAGCAATAAGACAGCACAGACCCAAACAAACAAAAAACGAAAAATGATGATGATGATAATGATTCCATTAATGAAACTGAAAGCTATCAGCAAGAGGTAGGAAACAGAACATGTATTTGTATTGCATACAGTTAATAAGAATTATGATGATGATTGTGAAGATGTGGATAGGGTAAGACTGAGTCACTTGGCACTGCTACCAGACCCTGGTGATGAAGATCGCCAAGGATAGCGTAAGTATTCAGGGAAACCCCAGCCACAGTGTCACGTCGACAAACACAAATCCCACATGCACTGCCCTGGCATTGAATTCAGTACTACACAATGGAAAGCCGGCGAATTACCAAAAGCAGGGTCTTTACATATTGTCACGTGATTGAGTGACTGCAGACGGGATTTGGATCGGTAATCGGATTTATTGGACTCTTTGATGAAGAGCGTCACTACACCTTACAGGCCACTATTACACACTCGCACACTAGTGTGCACAGTTACGTCTTCGCTGCCGTTGCCTGGTAGCGGCTTTCAGCGGCGGACGTTCCCCTTCCTCTGGGTTCCCGAACTGTCACCGGCCTTAGTTACCAGCTTGTGACTGCAACATCTTACAACTAATGAACCCCAGCGGTCATCTAACTTTTTTGGAGGTTGTTGCCTAACAACGGGTCTCCGTGCCACAATATGATGCAGTGTTGCCATTTATTTTTGATTTAGTAAGAAGTATGTTTTCTAAAAATTGTAGCAATAAAGAGAATGGGCATAAGATAATATTGAGAAACATTCATTCAAAGTGGTAGAGATTTGCGCTTCTTCAAGTATAATTTTACTCTATCCGTGCGGCTGAGAAACTTGGTCTCGTGTTCCGGTTTAAAAAGACAGTTAACTCGAAACATTGTACCGTATTAACCGGAATGCTAAGATTTAAACCTGCCAGTGAATCTGTAGAACAGTATCACAGCGTTACTTGTTGTGCATTCAGTAAGGAGGAATTCATTCCGAACTGTTTTCAGAAATTCAGTAAGTAATAAAGAGTTTTATGACGTATTTCATATCACATTTAAGTAACCAGTTAGCTGACTGCTGGACCATTCTGTATGTTCATTCATCTGTAATCTATCAAGGCGACAGGTCCACAGTCTCTTCCAAAACAGTTCCTCCACTTGATGCAATCTAGAGCTTTCTCCTTCAAATGAAAATATCCTCTTCCGTCCCCAAGGTCGTCCAGCATCTTCTTACGTCTTCTTCCTCGTCTTCTGGTCACTTCTATCCGCCCCTCTATCTTTCCTTCAATAACTCCTTTTAGAAGGCAGTTGCCGAGTAAGATATGACCAATCCAATTAGCCTTCCGTGTTCTTATTTCGTGTAGGATATTCCTCTGCTCACTGACTCTAAATAACATTTGTGAGAAAAATGTCAAGGAAATTGAAAAGTATTACATGGTGATTCTAAATTATTGTCGGGGTTTCCGTGGCCTGTAATTTTCGAACCTTTCGTGCCACGAAAGGCACGCTTCTGAAGTTGTTTAGCATTCTGAAATATTTATTCCACACATAATATTTTTTTTTAGTTACGCTTTCAAATTCCGTAAGAAGTTTTATTTTTTTCCGGGTTGAAAATTATAGGCTATGGAAACCCCGACAGTATTTATTATAGAATTACTCTGTATAAACTGGGATGCGACTAGTGAAGCATAGTAGAAACTTACAGCCTTTCCGAGGAACGTAAGAAGGTTCGAAAAGTATGTCGAGCAAGCAGGCTGTCCTTGTTTTATTCCTTGGCTTACTCTTTGACCCTGAAGATGGAGGCAGTGCGTTCTTCTGAAGCAGCGATGAACTTCTGCCAGACTGCTTCATAGTCATCACTGTGGCAATCCCAAATTCTGCATGCTAAGCAAAATGTTTGAATTCAAGAAGGCAGCAGCTTGTATGGTCTGAGGTTTACTGTACGGCGCTGCCAATATCAAGAGATAGGAGGATACTTTAGAAATGTATGGACTGGATTGATCTGGCTTAGGATAGAGACCAGTGGTGAACACGGTAATGAAACTTTGGGTTCCATAAAATGCGGAGAAATTCTTGAGTACCTGAGCGAGTAGCAGCTTCTCAGGAAATGCTCCATAGAAATGGTTGGTTGGTCAGTCAGTGTCAAGACTCAGTAGGATGACTGGTGAATGGCGGATTTGGAAGGAAACACTAGTGACCTGGCATTTTCCTCTGTATAGGCTAAGGAACACCACTAAAACCTCACTCACATTTAGTGTTCGGGCCGAGATACGAAGCAAGAACCTCCCGAATACTAATCTCAGCTACCCCTCCCCTGCTCGGTATACCTTCGGTGGGGGCGGTCGTGGAACAGGGACAGGCTAGCGACATGCGCAGGTGACAGTCACACGATGTTCCATACAAGTTCCACTACATGTCACATCGGATTCTGAGTAATATGGTAATGGGGTAGGCCATGCCAAAAGATACTTCTCATGACCCTCGCCTAACAGGATGCCAATACGATATCGCTTCCTGGTCAGTATTTGATATCTGCTCCATATATATTCTGAATATACAGGGTGTACCATTCTAAACGCAACCTAAACGACAGTTATGTGCTTCGGTACAGAAATCAGAAGCCGTTCCCCTTTTGTTATGGACTTAGTAACTTTTCTCATGACGTACGTGTCACTGTCACCCGGTTGCTAGGCTGCTTCTGTCACCATCTTTACATAAACCTCGCGTGTACGTTCACGGTGTATTCATGTTCATTCTTGAGCATAACTTCACGTCAGAATTGTTTCTTACTGTTCTTGAATCATTTGTCCTGACAAGGTAGAACCAAACACGACAGCTTGCGTATACTGCGTAGTATGGCATCCACCTTTTTGGAAATTGGCTCTGTCTCCTTCGCCAGATGTTGCTGTGACGAGCATCGCTGCCGCACGTTGTACTTATACGCAAATACAGGGTGTCCCTAAAAGAATGGTGGGATTTCATTGCCGTATATCTCCGTCAATTTTTGCTGATGAAAAGCAAAACGTATACGGATTCATAACATGGCTCTCAAATTTTCATTTTGTATATTACACTCTTTCGTAGTTCCATTTCCGACAGTTAGGAAAACGATGGATTGGACGTGCTGCAGGTGAAGATGCCCCCATTCTCCAGTGGCCACCCCGCTCCCCGGGCATAACTCCATGTGATTTCTTCTTGGGGGGGTATGTGAAGGACATGGTTTATGTACCCCCCTTACCCCAATCGCTCCAGGATATTCGAAACAGAATCAGTCGTGCTGTGGAGACCATCACATCTGAAATGCTGCAGTGGGTGTGGCAGGAATTCGACTATTGCATTGATGTGTGCCGGGTAACGAAAGGTGCGCACATAGAGGCACTTTGATGGATGCACATACAATCTGGACAGTTAACCTTCCGATTGACACGTGTTATGATTGTACACGGTAAGAAATACAAAATATATACATATCTGAAACCCCACCATTCTTTTAGGAACACCCAGTATAATCATGAGCCCGGTTTCCTGCACATTCTTCCACTGCGCTTGCGTACAGTGCCTTGACACTCATCAGATATCCCTGATAATGGAGTTTGAGACCGTCTCCGAAACATTAACCCAGTCTTCACACTACTGGTCATCCAAGAACTCTTCATTGCTCCATTTGATATGTTTACTTTAAGCATCAGGTATGATCTGTTCCTTGTGTTTCTTGTTTGCAGACGGACAGCAGAGTTCGAGTTCTCTGGACGTGTCTCCGCAGGGAGACGAGTACCGCTACTTCAGCCACGAGGAACTCACTGACTCCGATTCGTTGTCAGATGACGGCAACTGCCGAGGCACTGCAGGAGCCCGCGGCATTGTGAACCCTAACTATCCTGGCTTCCAGCATTTGGCTGGTCAGCTTCACCAGTCCGATACTGAAGACACCGAAGAGGACGGGGTTACAGGCAGCAGCAACAAGAATTACAACAATAACAATAATAACAATAATGGCGATGAAGACAACAATGGTTCTGACAATGTTATCGAGTCGAAGATTGATAGTGTGAATCATTTAGACAGTGTAGAGAATTTCCAGAAGGCGTTTTATGACAAACCAAAATTTAACATTCCAATAGATGCAGAGTCTGATTACTACAGTGTTGGTGGTAGTGATTTCACTGCAGTTCCAGGCGACGAGAAAGATTTAAACGTGAGTTTGCCGGTGAGTGACTCAGAAACATTTGTAATTAACGCAGAAGAACCAGAAAGCAGTGTTGAAAGTGACAGTGAAGTTCTGATGGCCAACATGGCAGCGATTGCCTTGAGTAGCAACAATATAGGGACATCCCCTGTAGTTGAACCCCAGCAAATAACCCGTAGCAAAATGTCGGATGCTTTTCTGTCGGGCGCCAAGGAGGATCTGTTGGGTAAAGGCAGCCCTGATGAAGGGAGCATCAGGAGCAAATGTGAAGAAGTTATGAACACACTGGAGTCTGTAGGGCGATGTGCTCATCATTGTAGCAGTCTGAACGTGGAAGATTCTAATCGGGTAGCCGAAGAATGGGAAGATGAAGAGAAAGCAGTAGAAAAATTCAGTAAAGAAGAACAGACCGCAAGTGAAAAAGAGAAGGATGAAGATTCCGTGGTACCGCGTAAGAAGGAGAAGATGGAAATAAATTACAGTGTAAAGAAAAACCGCAGTAACAGCTGCACCAGCAAGATGGAGTTGCAGCAGGCTTCGTCAGCACCGGTCCTGCAGCAGCAGGAAGAGCAGGACGGCGCTGTGGTGAGACGTCGTGATTTTGGGCCCAGAAGCGGCAGGGATCACATGCTGGCCAACAGACGTTCCGTCCCCACGGCAGCCCGTGACAAGAAGCGATCCTCCACAGAGATCCTAGGTACGTACTGCACCATTTCGTGTTCTTCTTAGGTACAGGGACTTTGCTCCGTAGCATTCAGTCTAGCTCTGAGGTGCACACAGCCTCACATCTAATATATTATTATTATTATTATTATTATTATTATTATTATTATTATTATTATTATTGTACTCCAGTAGAGCAGCCACAGCATGAAGCTGACCACTCACTTCCTTCTAGTGTCAAGATCGAGAACGCTTCTAGGAATATCCGCCCTCCACTGAATTCTTTATCGCATACTGCTTAATTAAGGAGAGGGAGAACTTGCTTATACACCTTCTCGCATGCTCAGATTGGAGGACATGAACATGATATTGTCACCTGTAGGGGGTGCGCTTGTCTTATAGACGGGCTTTGCTTTGCTGATAAGGTTTGCTGGAGTTTTATACATCTTGTTACAAAAATTCACAAAACGCTTTATGATATACTGTTTCTTCTCTTCAAAATCATTTTCGAGTGCCGCACCAAGACACTCCCTCAATTATTCCTCAGTTCTTCTTATTCTACGATCAGCTGCTGCCTTTGAACTCCTGAACTCGACTCACAACAACTCCATCGTTGCTTCAGATTGTCTTGCTTAAAGCATCTCTGCACGGACCACGTCGAAATCACCGTTTCAAACAATAACCTATGTAGGCGTGTTTACAGGCGCTATCACAGAACTTGCGAAATGAACCTGAAGGAGGCCTCAAATTAATAATCACCAATTACGAAAATAATTTAGGGGTATAGACGAAACTCGCAGAGTACATGCCTTGGAAAATGTCAAGATAATTGAGTTACAGAAAATACTGAAATTGGCTCTCCCCACCTGGAGACCCTGGTCGACACGATGCTCCGTGTTTGTGATTATTGCAGTCATTATGGCGGCAGAGATCACAGACTGCAGGCAGGGAGTGCCAACCTGCTCACGGTTACAAAGTACGCAGTGTTAACCAAGTTTCGCTTTCGTCTTTAAATTGTTGCGTGATTTATAATTATCATTTCTTGGCTTCCGCGAATGAATCATCCTGTATAGTAATGCTTCAGCATGGAAATAGAAAATATGAATAAACTGACGCCTGTTTCACGCAGACAAGCTGAGGCTCACATACCAGTGGTCTCTGCGTAATTGTGATAGGATTGTCCCAATTAGCGCCGAGTTGGCCAAACGCCCATTCGTAGTAATTGAAACAGCCGTCGATGTGGAATGTGTCAGGGGGGGATACCCCAGTATGGGAAGCAAGTAAGCCAATCGAACAGCCTCTCCCTTTTTATTCACGTTCACAAACCTGTGGAGAGCCTGTTAAACACTCTTATCCATCCGCCCGCCCGCCCGGCTGTAGCCATGGAACGCATCGAGAACAGTCAAAATTATTTTCGTTTTGTGTTTATAGTTTGTACCACGATTTGTTGAGACTTTCCAGTTTTGGTTAAATCCATGACGACAGTTGCGAGCACTTTTCGTTAATGATCTTCGTAGAGGAAAACGAAACACGTTTTACATCTAATACGCGTTATTGTAAGTCTTCTGGTTTTATAATAATGAATTAGGAAATGTTACTTTTCTCTGCGGGGCCCGGCAGCAGGTTGGTTGAGGCACTATGCTACAAGTCGGAAGTGCGCGGGTTCGATTCCCAATGTCGTTAAATTTTTCGGCCGGCGCCTAAGGCTGACAAATTCACTACCATCTGTGAGTTGACTCTATAGAAAATGTGACAGCCTCGACGTCTCACAACCCTATGGGCCTCCGCGGTTTGTTTTTTTATAGATAACTTTACCCTTTACTCCTCTCTGCACTTTTGTTTAGTTAGATACTTAACTCTGGTGCGTAACGTTCCCACCTCATGACTCGTGGTACTCGGGTTCAAACCCGGCGGAGGTCGTCGAATTTTTAAGGGCGGAAAAATTCAGGGAACAAGTCCTCCGGGAGGGACTTTAAGCCGTGTGTCCCGTGTCCGTAGCTTTACGGCACGTAAAAGAACCTCATATCTCCAAAGGAGGTCACTGAGCCAAATTCAAGGACGTTTCCCGCCCAACAATAGTCCCTAACGCCTCTGATAGATGGGGGAAGCATTAAACATACCACTCAGCTAGTAGAGGCCGAACTCGCTTGCTCGGCGGGACTGATGGTACGCGCCAATATCGGCAGGGTATAGAGACTAGTAGAATATCATAGAGGTAAGCACAATGGACCAATACTGGTCTAAGTGCATGGGGAAACCCACCCTCTCCAATAACTAACTAACTAACTAACTAACTAACTAACTAACTTTCGTGCACTCGTCACAAAAATGTACGTATCCTATATCTGGCTAGATGTTTCGGCCTCCTAGGGCCATCTTCAGATAAAGAATTTTGATGGAACCTACTGCACTGTGCAGCACTGTTCTCAATTTTGGTATTTTGAGAATATCTGCTACTTTGTGTGTGGCGCTCTGCTGGTTGTGTGCGCCTTGTACAAGGAACAGCAAATCAGGAGCCCGGAGAAGACGCAATACGAAGAGAGAAAAGGAACAGAAATTTTCAAAATACCAAAATTAAGGACAGTGACACACATCGGTGAGTACTATTGGCATAAGCGAGCACTGTGCAGTAGATGCCTGAAGATGGCCCTGTGAGGCCGAAACACCTAGCCAGACATAGAATATATTCTAGTGACATTTTAAGAACATTTTAATGAGCCGAATGTGATTTTGATGCCATCTAAACAAAAGAGTGTGTTGCTTTATAGACAGAAGAGTAAGCACGAGAGATAGGTCCATGCAACAGGATGCTGAAATATAATAATATTAGGTACTTAACAGTTAACGGCAGTGTTACGAATACACTGTAACACTAAAGAATAATTAACACGATTTTCCGAACACTCCCGAAGATACGGAAGTTTCTTATGCTCTCTCTAATGGGGAAACAAACCTTCCTCCCATCTGAATTCAGGTCTTCTTCTTCTTCCTCTTCCTCAGTTGCTCCCTCTTGAAGCCTAGGCCATCTGTGACACGTTTCGTTTCACTGCAGCTATTTAATCTAAGATAGTCGGTAGGACGCCTTGGACGGGGGATCAGCCCGTTGCAAGGCCGCTACCTAACACAAACACAATAAGCACAGACATCCATGCCTTGAGTGAGACTGGAACCCACTATCCCAGCGTCCGAGTGAGCGAAGACACTTCATGCCTTAGACCGCGCGGCCGCTGTGATCGGCACTCACAGGTCTGCATATACGAGGGTGTACCCAAAAGAAACCGAACTTATTTTTTTAAACTTATTTATTCAAATTTTAAGCACAAATCTTCAATCCCTTTCAAAGTACTCTCCACTTACACTAATACACTTGTCTAGTCTTTTATTCCATTTTTCAAAACATTGTCTAAATTCATCTTTTGAGATGCTTGACAGCGCCTCCGTCGTTTTTTTCCTTCACCTCAGCAACATCAGCAAAACGCTGAAAAAAAGTTTTGATCATTTCGGGACTCTTCTTTCAAAGCACAGCATGCTTCCACGCGACCTTGTTTTTGTTCAGCAGTCAGCAGTCGTGGCACGAATTTCGCAGCCACCCTTTTCATTCCCAAATCTTCTGTCAAAATTCGCTGAACTGAGCTCCAAGTCACTCCCGACAGCTCCACAATTTCTTCAATGGTCCGTCGTCGATCTTCCTTGATGATTTCACGAATTTTTTCAACATTTTCATGTGTTCGGGCCATTGCAAAAACGACGATGACACAAAACAGTTGTCACTATAAACTCTGCCGAAACTAGTCCTTACCTTCTGAAGCAACGGTAGTCGGCTTATCGACTCAGGAATGTTAGCTCTATGCGCTCATAGCGGCAAAACGCGGTACTACAAAAGCTCTGCCCACAAAAATATTAGTTCGGTTTCTTTTGGGTAACTCATCGTATGTAAATATGAGCTATGTCTGAAATTTAGTACACTGAGTATGTGCTTCGAAAGCGAGTTGGCTAGACTGTTTCAGGGAAAACTTTCGACGAACCCGCGGCAACACAACAGCTTAAATACGTGTTCCAGTTTATCTTAATAAATAATTAAAGTATTTGAGCGTTTATCGCAAGAGAGTTCTTGGTGAAGGATATTGGCTTAAAAGTAAAAGGATAAAGGTGCTTAATTAATTAACCACCACACCATGAAGACGTAGGTCGGAGTGGAGTCATAACCCCAGCGTTATTTAACGACGGCATTAGATTAAGATGAATTATCAGCTTCACGCTCCGGTCGCTTTATTCCCCGGAAAAGAGCTCCCGGTACCCATTGGATACGAGGCTTAATGGCCTTCAGAACCGGTCGGGACGCAGTGGAGAAAAGAAAAATGTAATTCTGTCGGGAATAGAACTCCGGTCAACCAACCCATATCCCGTTACTATACCCACTGAGCTATCTCGGCTCCATGGATTTTGGCTTGTCACATAATTACTTGAAGAGAACGAGTCGTGTTCTGAGGGTGGCTTCATCTGAGTTTAGGAGCTGCTGTGGATGGAGTTGTTAAATTGAAGCAGTTTTCAAACTGTGCCAGCGAACGGTTTCGGATTAAGTGAGAGACAGAGAAGGGCAGTAACGACATTAATGGGCTTATTGTCCTCTGTGCAGCCTCGCGTATCTGTAACGCCCTGACGTCGGCAACGTAATTTAGTATTGCTGAAATTCATTTGTAACCCATTTCGATTCGGCATCTGATATCGGCTCTGGGGAGAGATGCTGATTGTGGCTTCCATGTTTAACTTTGGGTTACCTTCTGGCAGGTTCTCACAGGCCGATCTAAGGCGTGAACTGTCTTGGCACCTCTCGAACACTAGGATTGTGGGTTCGACTCCCATATGAGGCATGGATGTCTGCGTGCGTTTATTCTGTGTGTAGGTAGCGGCCTTGCGACAGGCTGATGGCCCGTCCAAGGAGTCCTACCGACTCTGTATAGGATTAAGAAACTGAGCCATAGATAGACGGATTCTCATAGCGTTGACTCTGAGAAGTACTGTCTTCTGGAATGT